TTCTAATACATGGATGCTTAAAACAATATGGTTGATGTTTTAAATGAGTGAGAGCCAACCCTTTATACCAATAATGAAATGAACATTAATAGGCATATAAATGTATAAGGAATAGTGTAAATTTTGTTTTAGGCACATGGGTGAATCAAAGATTCGTGCCTTTGGCACTGCCCTTATTCCAACTAAAATTGTGACTATATTCTACCATTATATGAAAATTAGTTATTTATTATATTTTTATTATTTTTATTTTGAAATCTGGTTATATACTGTAAATAAAAAATTATATTAATATATCAGGCGAATGTACTGGTATGCGAATTTAAAAATAATAAAAAATACAATAGGGTATACCTGAAAAATTAGGTCACATGAAAAAACTTGTAGGTATTATCGAAGCAGCATGTTATCAATAACAATTCATTTTAATGAGTATAATACGAGATTTTCTGAATCAAATTCATTTGGTGTGAATTTTCGCGTCTAAACTTTTTTTACTTTTTTTCTTCTTTTTATAACACCTACTATGAATTTCTCTTGCATCTATTTCATCTATAACACTCGCTAATAAATTATTAGTTAAAAGGATAAATAAATTCGATCTTATATTAACAATATATTTATTTTATTATAACAAATATGATAATCAAAACGAAACACTTGCTCAATTATATGACTACTTTTATGTAAAAAGAAGGATATAATAGCAATTCAAGAAAACTTGGTATTAACGGCAATGCAAATCATGTAACAATGCATCAAAGTAAGACAGAACACAATCCGAAGGAAAAAAACACTTGCCAATTCATATAAGTTGCTGTTACATTTGGTGACATTCATAACAATTCCATTCTAGAAGTGGAGGGTATCAGTCGCGTTTACTTTGTCGACACCCATTTCATCGAAAATTTGTTTCATCGAAAGTTCATTTCGTCAAAAGTTCATTTCGTCAAAAGTTCGTTTCGTCGAATGTTCATTTCGTCAAAAGTTCGTTTCGTCGAATGTTCATTTCGTCAAAAGTTCGTTTCGTCGAATGTTCATTTCGTCGAAATTATTTCATCCTCGAACCAGAGACCGAACGAGTTAGATGTAAGGAGTGTGGGAAGTTAGTTAAGAAATTGGGTGAGGAAAGTGGTGTGTGTGTGGGAAGTGTGAGGAGAAATTTGTTTAATGAAGTTTTTTTTTTTTGTGACGAAATAATTTTCGACGAAATGAACTTCGACAAAATGAACTTTCGACGAAACAAACTTTCGACGAAATGGGTGTCGACGAAATGACTGTCGACGAAATGAATCAGACCCATTTATATTATTTGATTATAATATTTAAAAATTTATTTTACATTTTATATGAATCAGTTGTTACAATCATACCGAAATTTGGAAAAATTATTGCTTGTATGATTAAAAAAACTATATACAGATTTTATCAATTACATAAATGAAAAATGCCTATCAATTGGATTCATATATTTGGTCGCATTTCGTAAATTCACAAGGGACAAAATGACAATTTATACTATCAACTGGTATAATTGAACATATACCAATTGGATAAAATTTCCTTTTCCATATTTCGACATTGCAACTTTTCACATCGTCGTCAATTTGACAACGAAAGCGGGTTTTTTGGTTTGATAAATTCTTATCTTTATACTTTTTGGAATTTTTTACAAATAAATATTAAATATTAAATAACGTGCGTATAGTATAAATTATTTAAATTTTATTTGATAAACTTTTAGGTAATATCAACCAGCTTCTTTTTTATGATTTAATTGTTTAATTATAATATTGGCTATTATTTAAATAACTTTACTTGTTGACAGTAATTGTTTCTATTAATTACTTTAGAATAAAATGACTAAAAAAAATACATATAACCCTGACATGGTTCAAGAGAAGAAGCAGAAGTTGGGAAAGGTATAAAATACAAATAATTTATTTTACTTCTACTCCTCTTGTACCAACTCCTTCCGCCTGACAAACTTCTGTTAGTTCAGGTATCAATGAAGGTAAAAACAACAAAAGAATCATGATACCTGTTGGTATTAATTTAATTAAAAATAACAGGATCTAGCACTACGGATATAATTTGGAACCTCAATAAATAAACAATTGATAAAAAATCAAATGGATATGTTTCTAATCTTTAACATTCACCAGAAGGTTCGGAATATGATGAGTATCAAGTTGTAAGAAGGAAAGTTGCTATTAAAGACATAAGTTGGAGATCGAATACTGCGTGTTTTTTTATTAATATTAATTATTTTAATTTACTTTCTTTTGTTCTTTAAAAGCTTAAGTTGCTACTTTGAGGTTATCTTGATCAAATCTTTTGAGAGTTCCTCAAATAAGAAAAAGAATATATGACAAGACCTACTAATGCGTCGAATTGTACAAGAGCAGGTTATAATGGTTCTTTAGCTAACGTAGTTAATAAGGCTGTTAAAAAAATATAAAAAACTTCAATTAGTAACACCTGATAAAAGAAGTAACTCTGAAGAGAGTTCTGAAAGTAAAGGTCAGAAGAATCAAAATCATTTTACATTGGTTATTGTTATTCGAAAATAAATTAACTCACAATTATTATAAATTAGTGATGTGAGCCGGCTAAACCGGCTAAAAAAAATTTCTCTTAACATTCATTTTCAAGTCTGGAATTTTAGTGCAGAATTCAGTGGCATAGACAGTTGAGATGTATCCATCTGCGTTACTTAGAATGACAAAAAACATACAATACTCGTCGTAGCAGGATAAAAGCAATAGAATTTCTATTATATAATAATTCGATTATTCGTTTATTCAAATTATTAGTTTTATTAGTTTGAATAAATTTTCAATGTAATTCGAATATCAAATGCATAATGAATGAAACAAATAATTTGAATAAACCTTATTTGGATATAACGATAGTAAATAATAGTAATAGTGGTAATAATAATAATACCAGCAAGTTTAATACCACCTGAAAATTTCTTTCATCAACTGGGGTTCTTGGCCAGCTAAGTTTTTCTACCGATTAACAACCCTAAAATTAAAATCAATACTAACCAGAATGCTGATTGATTTTATAGAACTATCTAAATGATGTCTGATTAATTAAATAAAGTTCAATAAGTATTGGTTTTGGAGTTGGCTCTCAAGTTATTATTATTAAAGTAATTAGTTATTTAAATTTGAAAAATACCACCATCTCAACAAAATAAATGCTGAATAATATGCAAAGAATGTCATAAATATCTTTTATATAGGTTGTTGATTGGTGTCAATTTGTGGCATCATTCAGTAACTAATTGATATCAGACAGGTTGTTTTTGACAGCAACCCCAAAGCCTAATCGGATACCTTGGGTTTAGTAATTGATTAAAGTATTCTCATTTAGTAATAAATCAATTCTTTGTTTTATTTCAATCAATATGTTATAGTGAATAAACATAGGGTTTTAAAATCAGGCCGACTAGTAGTATGATGCCGAGAGGAAAATAAATAATAAATAAACCCCAATTTGAAAATAGGGATTTTTAATTCAAGAAAAGATGTTCTATATACAACATTTCTTAAATAATGAATGAATACAGATTAGTCAAACTATTTTCAAAAAAATAAAATGTAGCTCTGGCATCTCGATATTTCTATAAAGAATGAACATGAACAACTATATATCCAATTTCAGCTACAGTGTGTAACTAAAATAATTGGAAAATTGTTCGCATTGTTTAAATGCGTGTTTTGTATATATAGTGCAAGACACCTAGTCCCACAACTTTTCATTGTCCTTGTAGATCCTTCTCTAACTCCAAAAATGGAA